TGTATATTTTTCTAAAATCGTATGTAATCCAAAAGATGTAATTTGTATATTATTAACTTATAATACTTGGAAAATTGATAATAAATACTTGGAAAATTGATAATAAATTATAATACTTGGAAAATTGATAATAAATTATAATACTTAGAAAATTGATAATAAATGCCGTTGATCAGCCAGCCCCTACTTTGGCGGGTGGAGGCTGCTAGTTGTAGATATTTCCGCTGAGCTGATATATTCTGTTTGGTATATCACCTAAGGTCGGAAGTCAGCTCAGTGGTATAAAATAAAAAAATAAAAAATAATAATAATAATAAAAAAACATATTTCGGGCATGAATTACGAAGGCCAGTAATATTCCTTGCAGCATTAAGCTGTACACGTTCAAGTTTCTGTAGGTTTGAATCAGAGGCACAACAGAAGGTGGGGAAGGCGTACTCCAAAATGGGTCGAATAAGGAAAACATAGGTGTTTGTGAGGGTACTATCATCGGCACTCCAATCACGGCCCGAGATGTACTTGAAGATATTAATGCGTTCCCTAGCTCTCAAAACAAGATGTTCCAAGTGATTATTACCCACAATCTCAGGATCCAATTTGAAGCCCAAATACTTTGGGTGTTTCTCCACTTCCAAAGGCTGACTGTTGAACAGGATTCTTGGTCGAAAATTATAAAATTTTCTATTGGTTGTGAAGAAACTCACAGTAGACTTTGAAGGGTTAAACTCTGACAAATGAATAAAAATTAAGAAATGATGTGCTTAAAAATACGAATTGATTTACTACTACATTGATTTGCCTCTATCGAAAATTTGATTTAAAATTTTTAAATGTAACCGAATCAAGGAAATTTTACATGCATCTAGCAACAGTTTCACTCTGTTTGGCTGTCTGTTTTGACATTAATAATAAATGATGCATCGCAGACGTCATTTTAATTTTACATCAACTTCATCTTAACAGATACTTTGCTTTGATCAAAGATCGATTCATGTGTTTGAAAAAAAAAATGCAGTGAAAGTTTAAAATATAAGTTTAACTTGTAATTTTTAATTTTATTCAAGAAATATCACTAACTTTTAGAATAAAAACTCCCCCATACATTTCAAAGAATACGACAATCACCTCATAGAGATAAGTGTTAGAAATACATGGGGAAACAAAACAGAAAAGCTACTACTCGAACCATCGATCGATAGGTTAAGAGGGTCTAACATTCTACTGAGAATCCATTCTTTGAAAGAATTTTTATCGATAATCTAATTCTGTATTATGATAAAATACATAAGTGAAAGATGCAGAAAAGAAACAATCCTAAATATATCGATGTATACAACGAATTTTGAACACACCGGTGAATACCTAAATACATAGAATTTTTAATATATCAATGTATTCAAAATTCAGCATTGTTTTCTCTCCGTACCTTTTTCCACTGAGTGTGAAAAGTAATTGCCGTCTCGGTTTTTAGGTTCGGCAATGCAAAAATTCAGAAAATGCCTACTTGAATTTTGCTAGCGAATCTCAATCTTCGTCCAAAACAGAGGAGAAACCATTTCCTATATATTTGTTTGCACAGCTTAGTTCAACCATATGTGATGTATATTTAAAGCTTCAATATTTTATGTGCTGTAGAAAGAAAGAATAACGTAAAATGCGTGATAAAATATCTCCCCTCAGATCCAATTATTTATAATTTTTTCTTTGTTTCTTACTTATGTTCTTCCTTTCCCCCTTTTTTTTATCAGAATCTAAAAATTACGACGTAGAAGTTTGTGTAGAAAAATGTGAATTTTTTGGATAACATTAACAAGCTATTCAGCTAAGCTGCCATTGTTTTAAAAAAGTGCAATATTGGTGCGTTCTACGGGTTCGTGGATTTGGAGTGCTTGATGACAACATTTGATGAAGAATCAAAACACAATTTATTAGCCCGTATTACTCAAGACAGCTCCTAAAAGACATTTACAGTAATAGAAAAATTAAGACAAACACGCTGAAACAATCAGCAACATAGCCTTCAGGCTATCAGGCTATAACGGTGAAGACAACTTCACGGCAAAGCACTAAAGTACAACTCCCGATTAGGTCGATCTTTCTCAAGCTAATCTCTGAACTCAAGTCAGTAATGCTACACTACTCAAGATATCCTCGATACTCCGCGTACAGGCAGGGTATATATAGCTTTTTGACCTGTTTTCGAGAACATTCTCGGGAAAACCGGTAAGAATTCGTTCTAGAATGGTCTCTCTCAGTCTATGGCATATCGCCAGTTTCGTCTCCAGATGTCGCTAAATGGGCGATTTCGCGCCAAATCTGGCAACCCTGCCTTTCCTTGCCACTTTCTGACAACTCTAAACCTGCTTTGCAGAGAAGCTATCTTACCGCAGCTGAGCATTTCGTAACAATATGAATTTTAATATAGTTCACTTTTATTTCAGCAATGCCAAGTTTTCATATACTCTCTATTTTTTTGTGCAGAATGTTACAGCATTCTAAAGGCGGAAATAGATTTCTGTTCTCAAATCAATGTCCTATTTAACGGATAAATAATATTTGTATAAACCATGTTGTTGTCTAGGGATTTAGGCTTAGGAGAAGGAAAAAGCAAAATCGTGCAGTTTATAATTTTTTTAGCAACATCTGCTACTAGTTTCACCTCTGGCAGTTAAGAAGAAGCGGATGGAAAAATTCAGTATTTTTCCTAATCGCGTGCAGTTAGTATGTTCTGAAAAAACTCCCGTTAATTTTAAGTCTGAAAATTCCTAGATACCCAAATAACTAACCTTCCATGAGAGAAATACATCTGCAGTTGCTTAAAAAGATTCTTTCAGACTGTTTTAATGGAAAGATAGTTGTATGTTGAGGGGGGAAAAGGGGGGAACAGTTCTATATCTCCAGTCCTACTGGGCCGATTAACGAAATTCAACTTGCGTTTTTATGTCTCGAAAGCGCGACTTAGGATATGTATTAGATTTATCATACTGTTAGCATGTTAGCATTGTTCTAATTTAGTTAGTCTGATTACTAATTGTCTAATTAGTACAGTGAATCTACAGTGAATAATTAGTACAGTGAATAATTAGTACAGTGTCTAACTAGTAGGAAACAGTATGATGTGGACGTTGGCAAACGCTAACACACAAACAAACAAACCAGAGGGAAAAAAAAAAAATGTATACATCTGTATATATAAAGAGAGAGATTTGTTTTTGTAATAATAGTTACAGTTTGTTTTAGTAATAATAGACAGTTTTTGTAATAATAGACGTATTGTTGAAGTGTCTAATAAACTCATCATACTGTTAGTTCATCTACTGTCTAACAAATTCATCACACTGTTTCGTAATAATAGACGTATTGTTTTCGTAATAATAGACAGTGAACTGTAATAAACTCATCATACTGTTAGCATTGTTCTAATTTAGGTATTTGGACACAAAATCGGACTTTTTCTGAAATAACATGCCAATTTGTTTTTCCATATTTCCATTCCACGACTCAAATTACGCCAAACTACCAAGTTTTGTAAAAATCGCGCGAGTAGTTTTTAAATGATTAGCTCTCAAAATTTCAGCTCCTCTATGTTAATTGAGTTTGGTATATATTTATTAAGCTCTCTTTTTTTATTAAACTTATTTGATTCTTCCTTTCACATTTCGAAATTTAGGTTCATTCCAACTAAAATTCACTCATTTTTATGATTTATTTTTGAAATTTGAATTTTAAAATAATTTTTATAAATTTTCAGAAAATTTTTGAATTATAATCTGTAAAATTTTTACCATAATCTTAAAATAGACGTATTTCTAAGCATACCTGCAAAAAATTACATTTTTTTATTCAAAATTTCCGAAGATATATGTGAATTTATATATTAGTGCGTTTTGAAATTTAGCATATTTGTTGAAAGCGATAAAACATCAAATGTGGTTTAGACACTTTGCTAAAATTTTTTGGAAGTAGAAACGATGTCAATTTTTTTCCGCTCATGCACAATGTAAAAAAGGTATGAACGAGTTGCCTTTTTTTCCCGTCCGGCATAATGGAAGGGAAAAGAAAATTGGTGGCCACATATTAAGAAGTTCGCCAAGTGAATTATTCTTGGCGGAAACTAAATAAAATATGTCAAAATAATTTTTTTAATTTCTCCGTAAATTTCGCACCAAATTTTACAAAATTTAATATCTAGGTATAATTTCAGTCGTAGAATCGAAATATGGAAAAACATTATTATGTTATTTCAGAAAAAGTCCGTTTTGTGTCAAACTACCTATTATGTTAGAACAATGCTATATATAAATCTAATATATATCCTATAAGTCGCGCTTTCGAGACATGAAAAATGCAATTTGAATTTTGTCAATCGTCCCAGTAGAACGGGAGATGTAGAACTGTCCCCCCCTTTTTTTTTTGGCGCAATGTACCTAGTTATTTAAATGACTTTTTAAAACCATTTTTTGTGAAATTTTTAGTTGAAGCAAGTTACTTAACTTAAATCCTTGAAAATACCTCTCATCGAATTATATTATTATTATTATGCTTAAAGTGACTGAATACTGTTAAAGCACCTTTCATGAGACTTCAAATGTTCAAATGATTTGTCATGAAGAAGCTCAGCTGGAAAAGTTCCTCTATAAATAATAAATAATATTGGTACTAAAAACTCAAAGAAATCGTTATTATTTGCTCTTTCCTATTATTGCAACATTAAACAGTAATGCTCAATTAAGTGAGTTATATTTGAATAAGAATGTTTTTCAGTAGTTTGTCTGTAGTAAAATTCACTAACTGAAATTTCGTATTTGAATTTTCAAATTTTAATTCCAGTAAAATAAGAATCCCCCATTCTGTATGATGTAAAAAGAAGTTATCAAATGAAATTCTCAATTTAAAATTTTCAATTTTATAATGTTACATAAACATTTGCGACTATTCTTTTGTGAGGGAAAAAAGTTCTTAACAAAATATTTTAAACTATTTTTATTTATTTTGAAAATATATACAATTGCACAATTTTAAACTTACAAATATTACAAATATTATTACAAAAGAACTAGGACAAATTACAATAGGTTAACACAAAACCGTGTACAACATTCAAAATTATAACACAAATTATTTACAATCACTTGCCTATAAAATTACTTTATACAAACAACCATTGAAATAATATAGAATGTTATTTCAATTTGAATGTCAATTCTGTTCCATTATTAATTTCATATAGAGTATATATTATATTATAGCTACCATAGATTCAAATTAGATGAGAGAATTCTATCACGTGCTTTTCAAATTTATTATTTACGTGGACGGAATAGATATATAAAATAGCAACTTCACAAAAAAATGTTTTTTAATCACTCACAAATTCTATTTATTATCTTTTTTATACCATAACCATGTTACATTTTATGCTCTGGTATTTGTAATCATAAATACTGAACAAAATGTGGTATGTAATTGTCATTACTTGAAAATTATAAAGAAGAATGAAGAACAAACAAGAAAGAATTTCTTTTTTTCAGTATTAGTAGTGACAATGTATACTTTAAGAGCTAAAAATAGAAAATTTTAATTTTTATTTAGATGAAAAAAAAAAAAAAAAAAAAAAGATTAAAAAAAGATTTTTCTAAAAATTAAGATAGTTTTGACTTAATTTATGAAATTTATTTTTAATTTTATCCTCGATGCTGTTATAATTTCATTTTTAGCATAGTTTAGAGATTAATTACTATGTCAGAATATAAAGTGATTTCCTCCCTAGCTTTAAAATGCCTTTCTAAAAACCATACTGTGTTTGTTACCTGCGCACATAACATTTAAAAAATAAATTCCTATAATTCAACTGTTATATTTTGATTTTAACATTCAAATAAAATTTATTTACTGCTTCAGACTATGGTACTTATATCATTTAATTTATTTGCCTTGTAGAACGCCTCAAAAGAAGTACAAAAATTTTGTTTCTTAAGAAAAGAGCAAAACAGCTGAAGATTCAGGATTGATAACAGGAATTTTATGAGTAAAATTGCATAAACATATGCTTAATATTCATTTATTGCAAGAATAAAATGTTTTTGAATATTTATAAGAAAGTCATATGATAAATGCATTAATGAAACAATTATACAGGTATTAAAATAAATTTAATTTGCCAAATTATCAAAATAAGAGAAAGAAATTAATTATTGAGCAGCTATCATTGAACAAAATCACATTAATTAAATGTAATTTTAGGAATAGTCTAGCTTCCTATGCTTTATTTTTTTATTTAATTAGTTTCCTTAATATGCTGGTATATTTATCAAGAATAATTTCATCAGTCATGTATGTGCCCTAACAAATATATTCTAAAGCAAATCTCAGTTAAGATATTTTTATTTAAAATTAACTTTAGATCAATTATCATTTTATTTAACTATGTTTTATCTTTTTTAAAAAGAAAATGACAATTTGGTTTGCATACCATTGTCCTGGCATGAAGATGCCCTTTATGCAAGTAAAACTACGGTTTTGCTTTAAGGTTGTTTTTTATAATTTCAAAACTCATCTTCATAAGGATTTAGCCAACTTTATGCCAGAGCATTCTTATAAAAGTTTCTGTTTTTTTCGAACAATGATTGGCTTGCATGAAGGTGCTAGTATGTTTATGAAGGCATCTCAGTATATTAAAACCATACATGTAAAGCATGTAATGTCAAATGCAAATATTTAATTTAGACTTAAATAAATTTTATAAAAAATTTTATTGATTTTGAGGACATTTGATACTTTCTCTCCTTCAGGTACAATTTTTTCCTTTTTTAAACCTGAAAAAGAGACACTTAAAAATGAAATTTGCTTTATCATGAACAAAGACCAACTAATTATTATTATTATTTTTTTTTTTAATATTTTGAAAGAGTAGGACCTATGTCACTTGCTGCAAAAATTAGTATGTTTTTATACAAAATTCTGCACCGATATAAATCTTCCCTCTCTCCTTTAATTTTGCATTTTATATTGGCATATTTTCTTCCCTGTGCAAGCTGGTCATATGTCCATTTCTGCTCTTGTTTAAAGTCTTTAAGATTTGTAGTGTATTTAATTTAAGAAGTACATATATTTACTTCTTATACTCAAGCTAACATATTTTTGAGTTAAATGCTTCTATTTATTTTTTATTTTCCCTTTTTTGTGTAATACTTTTTCTTCTATTTTCGATTACTAATTTTTACATAGATGCCTTTTAACTTTTTTCTTTGTGTTTGGCTTTTAAAGTTAATTTCCCTAAATGAAGCCCATGTATTTTATTCGAATGATTGAAATTATATATCACAAATATTACGCTCAAAAAGATTTTTTTTCCTATTTTTTTAAAAATTAGTTTGCATTTTAAAATTAGTTTGCAATTATTTCATATACGTTAAAGATTTATTCATATATGTTAAAGAAAATTGTAATAAATAAATACAAAAGAGACACCTTTTAAACATTTTGTAAAGTCTTTTCTCAAACTTTATCAGCTGGTCCTATTTATACTTTAGAAAAGTTAATCATAACAAAGCAACAAATCCCATCAAATAAAACCAGTTCTTATCTTAATTATCTAGCGGTCTACACACACTTAACGCAAGACGATTTTATTTAAATAGGTAACCCTCTGATTCCAGTTGCGTACTGTCCTGCATAATAAAAAGATGGTTTAATATCCGGGTAATGATGGTGAGCCATGCCGTTGAACGGAGCGTAAGCCTCACCGCCGGCCCCATGCGGTAGATGGTCGGTGGCTGCAGCGGAGAAGGCATCACTTGCGCTGGCATTCTGCTGAGCTCCCCACCCGTTGAAGTTTGCCCGAGCCGCGTTCCAGGAACTTTCCTCACTTGTGGGGGCCGTCCCACCCACGGCGGCCGCTGCAGTAGCTACGGCGTGTTGATGATGTGTGTAATCCACCGCTGTGCCTGATGTCGAGACGGAAGTATGTAACATAGACATCATCTGGAAAAGAGAGATTACGGTGAATGTAATATTGTTTCTTAAGTGTAAAATCTACAGTTTTGTAAATTTTCAGGTTCAGTTTCCAGTTAGAGGAAAAGTATAACTATTATTACGAAAACAGATCTCTCTCTATATATGTACAGGATGTATACATTTTCTTTTCTTTTTGTTTGTTTGTTTGTTTGTTTGTGTGTTAGCGTTTGCGAACGTCCACATCATACTGTTTCACGAGAGGAATTCATTTGCTCTACATATTTATAAATTTAGAAAGTTCACAAATTTCTAGAAAGTCTTTAAGTAATTCGTGAGCAATTGTTTTGAATGATTTTCAGTGTTTGCACTAATGATTATTAAGCTTAATTAATATCTGTTTATTAATTTATTTTGCTTATCAATCCCTTTTCAAAGAAAGCTTATTTAGTGGTACGAAATTTTAAAAATCTACTTTTAGTTTACAAATAACACACAACAGATAAATAAACAAATAACCAAAGAGCTTCGTGCACAAAATTCTAATAAGTCATTCTATGATTTATCAGTATTTCAGTGCGAAGTTATGTCTTAGACACTGAAGTCTTTTTATTATTTAAAATAACTTGCTATTATGCTTTCCCAGCATGGTATAAGGGCATGATTATCCACAAGAAATTTTACGGGAGGAAAGGGTGGTGTTAAAGATTTGCAGTTGTACACTGCGCAAAAAAAAATGGGACAGCTCCTATACTTCCCGTTCTATCGGACCGACTGACGAAATTTAATTTGCGTTTTTCATGTCTCAAAAGTGCAACTCAGGACATATATTAGATTTATATATAGCATTGTTCTAACATAGTTTTGAAAATCGTTTCGATCATTCATGTTAATTTTATCCTGTAGGATCTTAAGTTTTACTAACGTTTATTTTATTTTAAATCTTTACTATCACTTCTTATTTTCTACTTCCGGCCAGAATTATAAGCGTTAAGGTTTTTATGCAAAGTTTGTCTGGCGAACGCCAAGTATTTAAGTTGTGGCTTTTTGCCAAGCGAGAGAGAGGAAGCAGTGAGTCGAAGCAGGCCGCTTACCTTAGAAGTTACGCAGTTGCTTGTTGCCTTCCAGGCCAGAGGTTTTAATCCTCTTGATAAATTTTAAACGTATTGTAGTGTTCACAGTTCTCTGTACTACATACGCTTCCTGTTAATATAAGGCCAATCTTCCACGTTTATTATTCTAAAGTTAAATTAGAGTTTAGTTTTATTTTTATACTTTTACGTTTTGACCCCAAGTAGCGGGTCGGTGTATTCCGAAGTACGGAAGTCATTGTAAATAGAGAAAAATAAAGGGTTTTGTATACCCTTCTTGTGTATCCTGTTTACTTCCCACAGTTTTGAACATAGCTTTAGTAAGCTCTCTGTTCCGAGTCAGGTCCTTGCATGTTCCCGAAGAAGGTTAGAAGGAACATTGAACCTGATACTATCACTCAAATTATTTCCACATATTAAATTTTGTAAAATTGGTGAGAAACTTAACAAGAAATCTAGAAATTTATCTTGGAGCCCTTTTTCGGCTTGCTCCAAGAATTATTAACTTGGCGAAATCTTAATTTACTGTAACCTATTTTCATTTCCCTTTTTTCATTGTGCACGGTCGGGAAAAAAGTGCATCGTTCATTCTTTCAAATAATTTTAACAAAATTTGTACAGCACATTTGGCGTTCACGTATATCCTAGGAAATTTTGAATAGAAAAGTCTAATTTTTTTGCAATTACCTAGGAATACATTTATTTGGTGACGATAAAAATTTATAGATTTTATATAAATTTTTTTTTGAAAAATTTATAAATAGTATTAAAAAAAACAAAGTAAAATAGCTGCAGATTTTATTTTGAATTGAATTTAAATTTCGAATTGTGAAGGAAGGAATCAAATAAGTTTAATAAAAAAAAAGAGGTAGTAATAAATAACGTATGTTGTTATATACCAAATTCAATTAATGTTAAGCAGCTAAAATTTTAAGGGCTAATTTTTTTAAAACTGCTCTTGTGATTTTTACAAAACTTGGCATTTTGGTATAATTTGAGTCGTAGAATCGAAATATGGAAAACAATAGATATATCATTTCAGAAAAAGTCCGATTTTGTGTCAGAATACCTATGTTAGATCAATGTTATATATAACTCTAATATGTATCCTAAGTTTCGTTTTCGAGACATGAAAAAAGCAAGTTAAATTTCGTCAGTCGACCCAGTAGAATGGGAGATAAAATTGTCCCCCTTTTTTTGGGGGGGGAAGGCAAGGTATACATATTAGCGTATCATAATTCAATGTAGAGCATCTTGAATTATAGAGTGATCGAAACAGACGTTTAGCCCGTATTACTTTTCCAGCTTCATCTGGGAAGTTTGGTATAGCATATATTCTTTATGCGTTATTCATCTAAATACGCGCAAACCCGGAGTAATTTTCTCCAACAGTTTTTCAATTATCTATCTGAAACCTGATAAGAAATGATATTTAATAGTTAATTATCTGTAAACGTGCCTAATTTTTGCTTCGTTGCTGCTGTAGGCTTATCTGTAAAATTTGTCAAATGTATCTTAGGAGCATGATTGAAATTCGGATGCCTATTATAAAAGTTTTTCTATTAAAAAGTCGGTTTCTTTTTTACTTTCTTGAACGAAATAAATTAAATACTGTTATCGCGAAAAATTTCAAAGGAAATATCCATTTTAACGGTCCCGAATCAATTTAAACCTTTTTTATTTTTATTTATTTATTTTTGTGACATCTGCACGTATGGGCAGAATAAAGAACTCATTTTCCCCAAACGGATTGCAACATGGATTCAAAAGGGATTTTTTGTGACATTTTTTTTGTGTGTGCGTATGTATATATATGTCTGTATCTCTCATAATTCAAAAACGATTAGCCGTTGAATGTTGAAAGTTGTTTATGGAACTGCCCTATCAACTAGTTGTATAGCTCTCTTTTTTATTGTACTAGGCAACACCAAACATATTATACATAGCCATATTTATCCATAAGATTTAATGTTACAGGATTTTTAGAAATAACTTGTATTGTTAATGCTCCAATAAAAAATACGTTCTTTTTTTATTTTATGTTTTAATATTTATGTACAATTGAGTAAGTCTTCCTATTGATGTCACCGCTGTTGGAATCATCTGATGCCTCTCTGTCTTTTTTTGTGGATTTTCAATCATAACTCTGAAAAATATTTTGCTGAAATCTCTTCACCACATCCTTCAAAGCATATTCTTTATTTCCAAGGCAAGAATAGCATGGATTTTGTGCGAAACCAAAATCTAGTTACATTGAATCTTAAGCCCCACATCATCCGTGTGTGATTCTAACTCTTGACTTCTGAATATCTGCTTATCTATATTAATACCAGTTGACATTTAGTTTAGGAATTCTCGTTTCATACGCCACTTTATGGGTTTATACTCAACTCCCTTCCATTTTTCAGTCTACATGTACTACAATCTGATAATCATCGTAACAGTATACATTCTTTTCCGCACAATTATCAAAGTCGAAAGTTATATATATATATATCTATATATATATATTTAAAAAAATCTGAAGGTTTCAGATTTTAAATTGCGTCCAAAGGGGCGTTTTTTACGTTTTGGTGTTACCTTTATTTATTAATATATTTCTTTGCACTTAACCAGAAATTCAGTTCAATAGCAATGTCGCAAAATAATTTTAAAATGACATATCTTTAGAATTTCCCAATGCAATTCCGCGCGCTGAGATAAAAAGTCTTTTTCCCCCCGTAAGTGTTGCCGTTTCTGGCTTTTATCGCTGAGTTTGTTATCAAAAATTCGTTAAGTTTAAAAATATGAAATCGAATAAAACAAATTCTAAATTTCAAATTGGTCTTCCACATGCTATATTCGTAGAAGGATTACGTCATTCAAAATTCGATGGCTCTATGTACCGTTGTTTTATCACAATGCGAGAAATGTACATTTACGCAGATTTTTCATTATTTAATTTCTTCAAATATAATGCAGGACTCTAAAATTTGGTGGCAACAGAATGAAAAGTGAAACGGACATTTATAGTGAATCAACGCAAAATCGCAAAACGAAAACAATAGTTCTTTAGGGACAAAGCCCCTTTAGACTAACAAGAACGAGAATTTCGAGACCATCTGTGTCTCCTATAAATTGATTAGAATCGCAGCTCAAATGCGATCTATGAAAGGAGCAAGCAAGAAGAAAATGAAAATTGAAGCGGTATATAAACCGAACGATCCTGAATGAACGCTTATACTCAGCTCGAATGATGAGTACTGATGATCAGAGCGTCTATGCTACAAACGCAGCTGAAACGGAGTTTCTTATCGGTGTCAAGATTTGTGAAGTGATGAACCTTCATCAGACATACTTCTGAGGTTCCTTGTTTTAAGATCCAACGTATGTTTATCGTTTCTTTTAATCAAGAAGTTGATTTAGGTGCCCCTTGGAAAACAGGAGTCGTTGCGATTGTAACATCCCATGTGCCTTTAACTAGTGGGATTAAGTAACTAACTAATGGGATTAAGGAACAAGGCTTTGTTAAAGAAGGTGCAAATTTTTAGTCTTTCAGAGATGTGTCATATATAAAATCTTCTTATCATGTATAAAAAAGTGTTTTCTTCTTCTAAAAAAATAGAAGGAGGAAGGAAAAACTGAAATGTAGAAACAAAGATACCTTTCCATTTATTTATATATTAATTAAATAAGCGAACTTTAAATTTTACGATTCAGACTCTGTAGGCAAAATGCTCATAGTTATGATCCTTATTTTGAAATTTCACAATACGCGAAAACCTGTTCAGGATTTCTGTGCTCTCATTTTGAATATAAACTAATACCGAATTCAATGTAAACCTGGATTTTTTGTTAATTGGTACATATATCTAAAAAAAAATTATGAAAGGTTTAAACGAATAAATAAATGAAAACTTTTAAAAATAAATGGGGGGGGGTAACCCTTGGAACTTTTTG